TGACTAGTCAGGTTATACAAACAGAAGGGAAATCCCCAGCAGCACCACCCAGACCAATGATTTTTCAGCCACTCCTAAGAATTACCCTGCTCTTCCTAGTCACCTGAAAAACAAAAGTGCGCCAAATGTTTTGCAATAGGTGATTCTGTTTCTCATTCTAAACTTCATAAATGTGTTCCTGTACAAACTACAAATAGTCTTGTACACAAGATCCTTATGTGAGAAAAATGGCCTGGAAGCAAACATATTATTTATGATAGAAATACTTACTGGCCTATTTTATGAATTTTTATAGAAAGAAAAATTTAGATAAAAATAATTTCTACATATGTTCAGGTTACAAAATGATCACATAACAACAAAGTGAGCATAAAACAGCCCCTGCACCAAGCTCTCTGTGAAGACTTGAATTCAGGGTTCTTTTAATTCTCTTGCAACAGAGGTAAGTGTTGGTGATGTCATCAACTGCTGCAGAAGAAACAGCGGATCATGAGCACAGGTCTTGACAGAAAATAAACACCCTCTGAGTGTGCCTTTAAACTTAAAGTAAATAGAAAACTTGCTTTATAGAGTGCTTGTCCAATATAGTTCCTGCCCTAAAGGATCTTTACTTTCAGTGTTTTCAGCTGTATTCCAAAAACACGGGGTAACTAACCACCTCTGTTCTAAAAAGGGACAAACGAAGGCTGCATAGATGACCGATCAATAAGCTAAAAGCACAGCAAAGTGGTTTTACACAGAACATGCAGAACCGAAAACAAAGTGTTTGATAATCATAAGACTAAAATTAATTCATTAATATTTGACCGTGACACCAAAATTAGATGTTGTTTTATACCTAGAACAGCTATTTTAAAGATATAAACATTCCTACACTTTAAAGAATGTCTTCTCTGCTATGAAAGTAAACATCTTTGGTTCTCTGACCAGAACTTGTTAATCAACTTGATACTCTGATAGATTGGACAGGCACACGTAAGCTAACCTCTCACCTTGTCAAGTTGATCTTGAAGACTAGTAGATGCTTTATAACCAAGTTGCAACAGCATTGCCTCTGCTGCATTTTTTTTGGCTATCTTTTTATTAGGTCCTGTTCCAGTAGCGACTTCATTGCCTACCTTGACCTGATAAGATTAAAATAAGAAATTGTTTTGGTAAACAAGAATTCCTTAACATCACAAAGCAATCTAAGTCTACAACCCAGTATCCAAACATGTAAAGTTCAGTCCATAATAAAAAGAGCACTGTAGGACACCACTTATGTAATAGTAGACATACACATAAAACGCACGCGAGGAAGTAAAGAATGCCCTAAAAATGTCAATTGTGAGTGCTTACCTCAGAATGGTACAATTTTACTTCCTTTGATATTTCTACATTTCATTTTTCTAAACAAAAATGTATTACTTTTATAAAAAAAAGTAAGAGATATTATAATAGAGCTCATGTTGGTTATAATTACAGTTAGTGTTTTTTGTTTAAAATAAACTAAAAAGTGTGAATTCATGTTGGTTTTATTTTAAATGTTTATGTTGCATTCTTAACGTGTGATTATTTGCATTAGTGCAGGAGAAAATTAATATATAAAGGGCAGTACAATATTGTATTTAAGAACAAAGGCCTCCTCCATGTGTGATCACGAGTTGTCAAAGGGATCAGGTTTAAGGCATCAGAGAAGGTAAAATCATATCATTGTGTGCTCTCCTTCCTGATATGAT